TTCCCTACACGACGCTCTTCCGATCTTTAAATACAAACTTTACAGATGGCTAATTCGTCTGAGTCATTTTTGTTTATATAAACAAAAAATAACTTAGATAAGACTATTATAGTCTTAGGTATGATGAGCATTTTGCATTTGTGTTGTCATTTAAGTGACGAATGATTCGCACTTGCATCGTCAGTGATATATTAGTATTTGTTCCATCATTCAAGTGACGAATGATATGCGCTTGCATCATCATTTGAGTGACAACAAATTTGAGTTCACATCATCATTCGAGTGCTGATTGGTTTACGAATTTATCATCATGTGTCATAACAACAGAAATGTGATACCATCATCAATTAATGCTATCTAATTGCTATTGGGTATGCTATATATATACTATCTGGTTATGCTATCTGTCACTGAAAATCTTTGGTGACAGCTTCACTTCGGTGAAAACTTTGGTGACGGGCTTATTATTAAATTTCAGTTTTAAATTCTTTTTTATCTTGTTCTTATATACTGTCACCAAAGTTACTAAAAATAAAGTAAAATTCTAAGAAAAAATAAAACTTTACCTTATTGTACACTTATAGTATATGATATGATATGTGTGATATGTATAATATACCCATAATATAAAAAAAGAAAAAAAAAAGCTGGAGAAGTTTGATTTTTTTGGTGACTTTGGTGACTTTGGTGACAGATATCTAGAAAGCTTTATAAAAGTACAAAAACGTAAAATTCAATAAAAATTCTGTCAATAAAAATTTTTCTCAGTATCACCAATAAATTTTTTGGTGACAGCTATACATATTAAGATAATGCATATATATCTACTAAGTATTTTTTTTTATTTCAGCATTACTTTGCACCATCTTCTCTAGCTTCTTCTGCTGATAGTAGGCTTTAACATGATATTTATCTGTATACAAATTATATAAGCTATACTCAGACGCAGTTTGTTTACGACGTTCTAAGCAAAGGACGCATTGGTGCCTTTTCTAGTAAATAGCACATCCTTCTTGTCGATAGCAAGGCCGTCTACAAACTTTTTCTTTATTGGAAAGATATTGACAAAGATAAATACCTGTCATTATTGATTATTTTTTTTGAAACTTGTTAGTAATACTATCTTAGGTAAAACTAATTAATTAATATTTTTAAATTAAACTTTTTTCTTAGGTTAATATATCAAAATTGTAAAATATCCTTAGCTACTATGACTACCCAAAGTGAACACAATACACCTACTGTGCTGGCATATACTGTTCCCACTTCTGAAATTATTATTCCCATATTTGAGCCTAATGCGCTGATCCAAACTCACAAAAATTTAGAGCAATATTCTAATATTCTGAAAAAAATGCTGAGAAAGAACTAAAGCAAGAAAATTTTGAGAATTTCGAGCCAGAAATAGAGGAAGAAAATAACAGGGCCATCTACCACCAGGGGCCAAAGCTTTTTCTTAATCACAGATTTTGGAAAATAGGAAGGCAGAACAATTACTTCAATATTTATTCTACTATTTCAGTAGTGATTATTTAGGAATCCCAACTCACAATGATATAGTTAGAGAAAATGAGAATGGATCGACTTCAATTCTTGAACGAGCCTGGGAAAATATACCTTTCATGCCTACTGATATAGTAGAATCCAATGAATATATTAATGGAACCCCCTATTATATCTTATATTTATATGGCCCACTTATCAATGGTCAAAAAGGGTGGTAACTATTATAAGCATTAAAGTTTTCTTTGATATCTGAATTCCTGACAATAAAGATATATATCTGTTTGAAGGTGAAATAAAAAATATTCTTGCCAATGAAAAGGATGACAAGGAGAAAACTGTAGATGTAGGTAAAATCAGAATAGAGTATATAAAAGCATTCCCAATTTGTAGTTACAATACAGAAAAAAAGTCATATCTACGAATTTATATGATAAACACTTTTCAAAAAAAGATAGCTTTTAATATTATCCAAAAGTATAACCTGAAAACTGCATCAGATGATTGTAGTACATATTACCACAAAGTCGCTTGTGAATACTGAATTTCTCTTACAGGGTGGGGGTAATAAACAATTACAGTTATACTAAAAGTTCTTCTCTTTGTTCATATGCATTTAGAGTATCTGTAAAGAATTTTCATTTCATAGAAAACTTAGATGAAATAAGCAATTTATTTCCAACTTCATATATGATACATGATCGAACTCTAGTACTAACATGGAATATAGAAACCCACACAGAACGCGGGGTAGATCAATTACCTCGACAATGGTATTTAGAGGATAATGTATTTATTAATTTGTATAACAGTTCACTGGAGAGATGACCCTACTCCACTGAAGCAAATCTGTCTTGTCGATGTAGAAACTGAGCCAGTTCCAAATTGGATCACAATCATATATAGAAATTAAACAAATTTATTAAAGGCATTTGTGCTATGTTGGTGAGCACTAGCACCAGATATTGTAATAGGTTTTAATGATTCAGACTATGATTGGCCTTTCATTGTAGAAAAGGCTAGCTGACTACATATTCTTGAATAGATGTGGTTACAAATGTCTGCAAACTCACGACAAAGTACAAACAAACAGATTTTACATTAGAATTATTATGGAAATATGGGAAAAAACCCAGGTTTTATGGGACATTCTTCAGATATTGCTGGAAACAGTCATAAAGTGGTTAAAGAAAATGAATATGAAGAAGAAGATTTTAGTCGGCTAGCAGTAAAAATTAAGATAAGTTCAGAAGAGTTCTTTATTTCTTCTTTTCTGAAGTTGCCAAGATGTGTTCTAATTGATGTTTGTGCAAGTTTCAAAAAACTATATCCACAATCTGAAGTGCAAAAAAGAAGCTCTCTCAAGTTTTATTTAAAAATGTGTAGTCTTAGACATAAAATAGATATGCCAATAAACCGTATGCGAGATTATTACAAAATAGCAAAAGAAAATAATTCTATAGAGTCTGAAAAACATATACATGAGGTAGCAGAATACTGCATTATTGATGCTCTATGATGTCAACAGCTTATGGTTAAGCATAATGTGATAAATGACAATATAGAAGTTGCATTAATTGCTTATGTTTCTTTATTCGATGCCTATTATCATGCAAATGGAATAAGGGTATGTAATCTCTTAGATGCTAAAGCCTGGAAGCAAAATATACTAATTAGTATGATACTACATAAAGATGTCAAATCTGGAAAATATCCCAGTGCTCATATATTTTCTCTGGTAAAAGGCCTCAATAATAAGCATCCAGTTACAGGTTTGGATTTTGCATTATTATATCCATCTATTTTCATGACTTACAACTTTTCATCTGAAATGATGATATTAGAAAAAAAGATAGCTACTAAACTGCAATAGAAAGAAATACATCTTCATAAAGTCGAATTTACATTTAATGGTCAAATATTACAAGCCTGATCAGTATTACATGAAAACAAGATTGATAAAAAAGGTTTGTATCCATTAGTTCTGGAAAAACTTCTGGATAAGCATAATAAAATGAAGTTCAATCTTGGTATTCTAGATAAGAAAAAAGAGTATATAGAATTGGTTATTAGAAAAATAAAAGAGAGGAATTTATTATTATCGGATGCTATAGATAACGTCTTGGATAATGCAGAAAATAAAGAAGAATATTCTGCTAAGATTGAAATCTTAATTCCTTTTAGTAAAGATTATAATGTTTTTAAAACAAAATATGAATCTGTATATTTTGACTATTCGTGTTTGGATTCAAAACAAAAGGCAGTAAAAGTTTATATGAATTTATTTTACAGTGAGATAGGTAATAGTCTATCCCCATTCTTTCGATGCTATATTGCTGGAGCTATTACTTCAGCAAGTTAGTTCAATATTAAGCTTGTTGCAGAATACGTACTAAAAAAAAAATATAGAATTCAATATAGCAATACTGATTCATTGTATCTTACCTGTCCCAAAGATAATTATAAGAAATATTGTCTAGCTTATAGAAACAATTCAATTTCAACACTAGTGTATTGGACCGAAATGGTTAATATTAGCATAGAAGTAATAAAAAAATTACGCAATAAAGTGAATATCTATATTAAGATAAAAAGTAGATCAACTTATCTCAAAATGGCTTATGAAGAGGTATTATTTCCTGTTGTTTTCACTGGTAAAAAGAAATATTTTGGAATTTCTCACGAGAAAAAAGTAAACTTTAAGCCAAAAAAGTTATTTATTAAAGAGATCGATACTGTGAAGCAGGGACAATCAAAACTCTTTATAATTATTAGTGAACGAATTATGTGAAAAGCTATGGAAGTTGAGGATAACCAATCACTCCATAAAATTGTTGAAGATATTCTCAGAGATGTCATAACAAATTCTAAACAATAGGAGTTTGCTAGTTCATCCAAACTGATACATGGAAACTCAATATTCAAAACTTAACTGTTTAGCGGTTCATAGAGCAAATGAGAAAAACCTATAAAGATAAGATTTCTAAACTGGGTGAGCGTTTTAGTTATGTAATACCCAAAACTGATATAGATTTTGATTTATCTGGTAAAAAGTTAAATCTAACTAAGGCTGACTGAATAGAATTTGTTGATGTGGCAAAGGAACTCAAAAAGGACATAGACTTATCATATTATCTCCAAAATAAAATTATTGGCCTTTGTGCTAGATTTATCAACTATGATAATAGATACTAACTACTGCTCTCTGATAAGATCTGGCAACTCAAAGACTCAGATAAGAAATATAAGCAAATTGATGAGTATTCTCAGAAAAAAGCCAAAAAATGGCTTGAGAAATATGTAGATAGCTTGAGTGGTATTAGTCCCAAAATGATACTTAATTGTAGATATACTTACAAACGTACCTACAAGAATGCAATCAAAACCACACAATCTATATTACATCAGAAGATAGGTAATACCTACGAGATATTTCATGGGGAATGGCTTAATTTTGAGGATTTTAAGGCAACTAATACTATTGAAAGATTATGGAAAAAGGTTGTGGAATATGCTAGAACATACACCGAGAATAATAATCTCTCAATAAGTACTGAGACAAAAAAATCTATATGCTACGACTTTACAAAATGCCTAAATGCACTTATCCTATTTATCGAGAAATATGATACCTTTTTCCATCATTTAGTATATCATATGCGATATAAAGAACATATATCCATCCCAGATAAGATTGGACAACCTGAAACTATGAGAAAAAATGAGATAGTTGTTAAGCAACCTATTATACCCAATATAACGAAAGCTGTTCGACTAGCACTAACAATTTTCTAAATACATGGAAGAGGGCAGTCAGTTCAATATAAATATATATTTATATTAGTGATACTTATATGATATTAATAATATTTTTTTGTACATAAATAATATCCAAGTTTAAATAGATGTTCACCCGATCCACATATCCTGCAATTGATCACTTTTTTTATGACCCTTTAGAGTCACTCCTTTGGCTTGTAGAGCAATGGCTCTTCGAGCCTATCTATATTCCATGTATGTTTTATGAACTACATAACTGCGATAATCAACAAAATAAGAAAAATATATGCTGATAGCAGTGACATAAAAGTGCTTGCCACAGCAGGAAGAGGCAAAGCCTCGGGACTAAGCCTCATCTAAAAATTTAATTCAATAATAGCAGACATATTATCCTCACTAATTTGGCTAATACTAGTTTCATTACTTATCTTGAAGTTGGCCTCGGTATTATTTTTTGATAGTTCAATAATCTTATCATTAGTATATGTCAATATATTACTATCAGTTTTTTCAGTTTGATCTATATTTTTTCCACATATAAAATATTTACTGAGATCAGTACTACCCAAAGATATATTATCAGACTTAGTAATATTTTTTTTATTATCCCCACCGACTATGGGTTTTGATATAGTCTCCAATTTCAGACACTCAAGCTCATTGACCTTTGATGAGACATATTTTCGAGGCTTTGCCTCTTCCAATTCGCTCTTTATATTTTCTAATTTAGCTATTGTTGATTTGAGGGATGCGATCTTGGATTCTTTTTTCGATAAGTCATTTTAAATTGAAATTACATCTTTTTGGGCTAAAGACAACTTACTTTCCAATATCTTGATCATAGACTCGAGTGATTTGATTTTCTTGGATTTTGTAACATTCTCAGCTTTGAATTCAGCAATAAAAATATCCTTTTGTGCGTTATGAGAAATAAGATCAGTATTTTTATTTTGTAGTTGCTTATGTTCATTAATAACCTGCAAAGTGTGGGTGTGTAATTTTGGATCTTAGTATTATTTCGTAATGAATCCTGATTCTACCCCTATCTTTCCCGATCAAAAGCCTTCATTTGTTTTATGTATTTATCCTGTAATTTTTCGCTAAGCTTGTTAATTTCAGCTTTGGATTTGATAGCATCGTGTATTTTTTTTTCTAGCTCTTCTTCGCGTATACTACCAAGTCGATGATCTTTAATATTTTGAAATGTATATACATTAGCCATATTGACTTGCTTCACTAAATAATAGATAATACAATTATTAATAAAACTAATTTCATTAATAATTTCTATTATTATCTAATGATGTTTAATG